GCATCGTGTATGTGACGACGCGGTTACGTCTCTTCTCCGCATCTGGCACCATGCCAAGCTGAACAAGTCAAATGGCTGAACAGCAGTCAAAATGTATCTGTTTCGACACATACCTGCAATAAACTGCAAGTACCAAGTACGTGTTGAGCCATGGGGGATGAACATCCTCCTAGTCGAGAGTAGAGGGATTCATCCCCGGCGACCTTATGCAGCAAGCCCGGAGGTCGTCGGGAATGTGTCCCCGACGATCCTCGGGCTTGTGCATGCGACTTCGGGGATATACCCTCGAAGACCTTCGGGGCTTGTTGAATACGGCCCCAGGTCTTTACTCTCCTACGGCGATTACTTATGTGCGCTGTATAATAATTAAATGCGTCAAAGTCACTTTCGATAAGTTCCTCTACTTCTTGATTATCTTAACTATCTTCCAGAGGAACGAGGAAACTCCACATTCTCTACCATTTCAACCAAATATTTTTCAACTCTTAAAATAACCAAACTAATCCCAATTCACCCGTTCGAGTTCCAGAAACGCACCTTCTCGGACATCGATGCGTTGCCGCCAGGGTCAAACCCTATCTTTGCCTACTCTTGAAATATTTACACCCCCTTCATGTATTTGTACGATCCCCCCTGTCATGTAAACTGTGAGAGACAGTGCCCATAAGTATTTATTGCTACGTAAGTCCCTTTGGCCTCCTGGCGGTGGAGCGCATTTGCTCACGGTGAAAGGCGACGAACGGGGAGTGTGGAAATTCGAGAGTTTTTTTTCTTTTTCACATTTCAGGTAGTTTGGAGAAGATTTTGGATCGATGTGGCTCTTCCTTCCTAACGAGTGCTCATTTGTTCTCAAACACTTCGGAATGAATAAGTTATTAGACAAAAAATAAAATTGCAAGAGAATTTTTACACTCCTCTTTCTAGGGCTATAACTTCCTTCATATTCGAGCTTCAGCGCCGAAGTGGAAAATTCAAATTATTTTCTATCCAACTATAGGTAAAATTTCTTCGAAAGTCAATCTACCCTAAAATCCCATAGATAAGAGCGGTTTAATTTACCGGTGAAAAATGAATTGGAATGAAATTGAAATTGAATGCAGTCACCCCTCTAACTTGATGGATGGATAAATAAAAATCGGAGAAGAAGTTTAGAAGAAGCTCCGTCCCTCAACTCTAAACCCCGCCCACTTAATAAACAATTCATAGAAAAATAGCGATTTTAACGGAATTTCTGCCGGAATCTCTCTAGAAATGCCGGAATTTGATCTCTGGATAGAACTTGAAGAGCCCATTCGATCAGTAAAATTCCATAGATAAGAGCGGTTTAATTTACCGGTAAAAAATGATTTTGAAAAAATATTTTTATTTTTATTTTATTTTTGAAAAAATATCTATGGACCGCTCTTATCTATGGGATTTTAGGGTAGTTGCCATATCCTTATACGAAGTTATGAGCAATTTGAGCGGTCCCTATTTGATTTAGAAAACTCAAATTATTAAATATCTATGGACCGCTCTTATCTATCGGAAGTTAATTTAGTAAAAATTTTGTACGTTGTTACTTTTTTCTGTGCAAAGGCGACTTTTTGACCTTCAAACGATCATAACTTCCTTCAAAGTCATTCATTTGGGAAGCTGAACACGTATAATAAACTACAGGATTCAAGCTTTCTAACGAGCACCCAAGCGTTCCTGAAAGATCAGTAGTTCAAAAATTAGTCCCGTTGTTACTTTTTTGGGGGTTTGCGTTACTATTTTTTGGAACCGCGACTTTTTTTACCTTCAAACGATCATAACTTCCTTCAAAGTCATTCATTTGGGAAGCTGAACACGGTATAATAAACTACAGGTTCAAGCTTTCTTCAGGGCATTGCTTCATGTCTGATGGATGGGTCCACGTTCGAAGACCCCTTTTCCTCCTCTTTCCTTTCGCCCTTATTCGCTCTATGCAGCTTCCACCACCTGATTCTTCCTCGTGCTTCCGTGTGGTGATTCTGTCGAAAGCGGCAACCAATATGGCAACATTGCTGCAATTTGAGTGGTGATTTCGTCCCATCTCACCACAAAGCCATGGTTATAGCGTTGATCACAACGCTATAACCATAGCTTTGTGGTAAGTCTGAAGGAAGCTGCTATCAGGTAGGCAAAACATGAAAGCTTCTTCAAGCGTGGCACAATCACATCTCTCGAGCAACACTGTTTCATGTTTTCCCATGCCTGTTTAAATTGAGGCACCTAACCTCTGCAAAGAGTTCGTACAATAGTTGCTGTCTTTCCATGACGAGAACCCTGATATGTGCTAGCACTTACTTTACGAGAGAAAGGTCATCATGCGTCAGTATCATAGCCATCGATGTCTTGTATCGATGTCTATATGTTCCAATGTGAGATTTTTGTTCGATCCAGATTTTCCTTCGATACGTTTGATAGTTACTGATCGAATTTCGCTCTTCACTTTATACACAGCTCTTCTAAACAATTTGACATGAATCAAACGGTAATGCGTGAGTATTGGTAATGCCGCCAATCCGAGAACAATTCTTCAATCCATTTCTTTGCTAGTTCACATTACTTTTATGATATTAGGATGACTTCATTTTTTTTATCGATTTGTTTTTTGGACTATCTCATTTTATTTTGTGTTTTGAGAGAACTTCCATTTTGTGTCTTTAGAAGTTATTTCTATACTTTTTTATTCTCGCATTTTCATTTCGTGTTCTCAGAGAGCAAAAATAACAAACAAGTAAACAAAACACAAAGGGAAACATAAGCTACATTTTCTATGCGCGTTTATATGTGTTGATGTCGACTGTTGTTGGAGATGCTAGATGTCGACCTACAACTTGCTAACACTAACACGGCTACTGGTAAAATATGCGGCTTTCTCCCAAATCTAGACATGGAAATGACGTACTTATGTGTGCTCCTTATTTTTTTCCGATGATATGAATCAGAATTTCGTGTTCTAACAATTCCTGTTGCTCCAGATGTTTACATTGAAATTTAGTGCATAGCTACATAATGCGGTCTGCGCAAGTCTACAAATTCTTGGCTGTTTTGCTTTTGCTCGGCACCAAAGGTGCTGATGGATTATTCAGTGCATATGTGCCAGAAATGTGCGCAATATTGCTCAGCTCAATGTAGCAGTGCATGATGAATTGCTGCGTAATGGACTGTATGCAGAAATAGTTGGAGAAGTCGCAGACCGGAAAGAAGCTTGTGGAATAGTGATGCTGGGTGAGCTCTCTCGCAATTTTCACACATCACTATCAATTATCTGGACCAACGCTCGAATAAACTCCACAATTTTACCAGACTACACGGCCTATGTTCACGGGGATCTATTCGAGGCGGCAATCAAACCAATCGAAGACTATCTGCTGGCAACCAATAACAGAACCGTCCTGAATGAAACTCTTCGGATGGAGGTTAGTACCCATTTCTGCTTACGTGACGGGAGCCGATGATGCAAAATGTGACGTGTACAGGTCTATAAGGCGATGAAGGCAACAGCATTGGCCGCACACAAAGCTGATATGAAGGATCTTTTTGCCATGCGCCAGGCCTCCACACCATTGCACAGGTGAGTGTCAATATATAATATATACGTCGTTTTCGTCCCAATTTTTTACGCAGCTCTGGATATTTGTAGGCCAACGAAACTGAAGTCGTTCCCCAATGCTGGTGTCGTAGCGTTCGATATTGGAATGATACTTTTTGGTGGCTTCCATACTTGAAGGCGCTGAGCATTTCGTTGAGAAAAGTGATATAAGAAACTACAAAATGGTGCGTCATCTTAACGAGTTCCCACTCTACGTCTGCTTCGCCTATGGTCACCATTTATTCAAATTCACATTCCAGAACGCCATCGGAAATGCGTTCCTGGCGCTGATCAATGGGATGACTTTGGAAGTATCGAGGTAAAAATGCATATTTTGGTAGATAGACGTAACCAGTGAAAACCTAGTTCTCTCTACAGATTTCTACTTGCATGGTTTTACAGAATCCATTTCGGATCGGCGTTTGCATTGGTGACTCTTGAAATACATGCAGAAGTGCGTAGAAGGCTCGATCAGTTGTTCGGGTTTGGTAAAGTGGCGGAAGAGCTACTAGAGAGGTCAAGCAACCGCAGCCTCATGTCAGCAATCGAGCGGCTTGCAGGCGAGCGGTTCAACCACTCATTGCTGGCTTTGCACGGCCGTAGTGCGAGGGATGCATTAAAGGCTACTGTGGTCGGAATGAATAAGGAAATGATTGAAATTGAGGTAATTGTAGGGTGTCGTATGTTAATGTAACGCACAGCACTGATAATACATTCTTAGATCTGCTACCCGATGACCGCGGCTTCGGATGTTCATTATTTGATTCGCGTGGAACCTCTTGGACAGTTCTTGCCGAACATGAGCTCATATTGGATGCACGACGTTGGAGGATTGTATGCGATTGGGAAGACGGAAAACCGGAGCATCAATTTAGCCACGCTGCGAATGGTGGAGCACGAAAGTCTGTGCCGGCACTCCTCATCTGTTTTGTTGTGCAATTTGCAAGAGCAGGTGACTGGATGTGGGTTGCTGTCTGCAGATAGGCATTACTGTCAATTGGTCTTGCACAATTCGTCAGACGAATATGTACGGTAATTGTTTATTGATTCGGCGTTTGCGTATAACATTGAGGACAGTTCATAGCACTAATCTACTGAAATTACAGTTCACATTGGTGCGGCCACTAGCACGTTCTGTGATAATAGCAACTCGGGCCACACGAATGTATGAGGTTTCTTCTAAATTCGATGAACCTCGAGCAAGAGTTGTCACGAATCCAGTGTTTGCGGTTGAGGTACCGAGAGGGAAGTGGTTGGTGGTCGGGAACCAGGTGATCAACTCGCGTGGATTCCAGGGTATGATGGGCGCAGGATTCAAGGTCATAGTACCGGTGAGTGTTTCGCATCGGTCAACAAAATTCTGTTGGAAGAACTGTGAGTAAAATATAGCACTTTTTAAGGATTCTACTCCCGACTACTCACCCACTGCAATGCCATATATGGGATCGGACTGGATCTGGCTTTACTCTGGCGCATCTACACTGCTGCCGCTACTGTTCCCGTTGTTTGCCGCCGTCTTTGGCGCGACGATGATTTGGAAGCAGTTTACTAGTATCAGAGCCGTGGAAAAAGACTGCGAAGAGATGATGCAATGGAAGGATTACTATGAAAGACATCTCATGCCTAAATATCCTTCTGTTCCTAACATATATGATTAATAAAGCTATCCAATGAGTGCAGACTTATTGCTGAAAAAGGTTTACAATGTTTTCAAATTTGCACTACACTTTGATCCCATAGAAACTCACAGAAACTCACAAGATCACATATAGCAGGGTAAAGCTTAAAAATGGTCTCAGCAATGTTACAGCTGTCAACTCAGCCATCCACCACTGACGGCGCACCTGCTTTACCTGGCCTGATGGCGTGCGCCTAATCGTAGCATTTTGAATTCAGAAAAGGGTAGTCGATTATGGTAATTCTTTCCTTTGCAAGGCAGGAACGATCTAATCAACACCCTCTACAAATTGCAATGGACACGGCTGCGATCGGAGCCGTAAAGCGTTGGTAATCGAGGCTTTGACTATGTCACATTTCTCTCTCAAAAAAGCACTGAAACTGATCTCAATGCTCACTTCTTCAAAAAATCGCTCGTACGAATTCCCCTCATGCAAATGAGAGCTTTTAGGCAAGAAAGATAAGATAATATACTTTTTTGGAAGGTGGGCGGAAGTGGTGTAGTGGCAAGTGGCACGCTTACCACGCGAGCGGTCCGGGGATCAAATCCTGGGTCGTGAGTCGCCCGGGCCAACCAAGCCTTCCATCCCTCCGGGGTCGGTTAATTGGTACCAGACTTGTCTGGGAGGATAAAAACACTGACTTGTACATCGGCTGGCCCCCGCAAGTCATTGTATAGGCCACATCGCATTCAAACGCCACTACGAATGTACAAATGGAAGTAGAATGCGTGCCGCATCCCAAAAAGGGATTGATCAACGGCAAATGCTTTATCCTTTTATTTTATGCTTTTTTAAAAGGTTAAGTTTTGAGGTTTTTGTGAATATGGGTGAGGAACATGGAATTACCAAGATTTATGCTTACTTATGAGCGCCGAAATTTTTCAAGAAAAGACACTGAATCGGAAGAATTGTTTGGAAAAATTTTCTTGTGACACTCGATAAGATCGACTTAGTCATTGCACTTCATGTTGTTTGTTTAATCCACAACCCCCCCCCCCACTGTGATAAACGAAGTTGGAGGAGTTCTGCTGTGTTTGATGCGCACTGCATTCGCTAGTGGTTCAAGGTCGCGGAGGCGTTAAAAAGTGTAATCATTGTTGCTGTGGTCTGTAGAAGCCAGCCGTTGTGATCTTTGCCCAGCAAGATAAAAGACCAAGCGTACATCTATTTCCCTGCAAACTGTATCAGCAATTTCAAGCCGCTCCCCAATCTTCTTGTGACCTCAGGCGATGCTCTCGTTTCATTACCTAGCTTTGCAGGGATACTGACCTTTTGTAGCTCAGGCTCGAGAACTGGTAAGCTTGAAAAAATTCGGAAACCTCAAAGAGATTTCTACAGGCGACTTCTTGAAGAGATGATTTTTTAAGCTACTTTTTATATTTTTGGAAAATAAATATCGATCGTATAACTTCCGCAATCAGTCAAGCTCTACAGTTAACCCTGTGCAGCGGCAACGGATTTGATCACTTGGGATTCATTAGCTCTTGAGGGCACTGATTTTGGAATTACAGTTTTATTAGTGAGTTTAAGTCACAACAATTGTTCGAAGTCAGTGAGATCAGTAACCGCTGTGAAGCACGAAAATAATGTACTGGTGGAGAGTACTCTTTTCCAACCCACGACGTTCCCAACGATTTTTGACACTCGCTGGATTTCCGTATCTCTCTCTCCCCTGAGAGGAGCCTTGTTGAGCAGAAGGAGAACTGCTGTCAAAAAGAAAAACTCCCAAAACCGTGGTAAAATGGAGTGTAGCGTTTTTGTTATATGATTTATATAGTAGAAGGATGTTAGTAGTAACTTATAACGACTATTTCAACGTATATAGTTTTGCTGAGGCAGAAGTCAGCCTTGTGTCACCAAAATTTCTTATTTACTTGTTTGCTCAATTGCCAAGCATTAAAGAGGGGGGAGTGGATAAGGAGTGAATGGAAGTTGGGGGTAAAGTCTGAGGAAGGACAAGTAGTGAAGAAGGTCATGCATAAAGAATCAAATGAGTCATCTTCTTCATAAATACTTTGTTTTCATATATCATACCTGGAATTTATTTCAGGAAGTTAAAAAACGCTTTGAAACAACTGCAAGAAGACTACTTGAAATGGGAGGGCGCAAACCCAATTATGCGGTATGTGAGGTTACAGCAAGAGTGTCAGAGAGGTGATTTAATTGTTTTTCCTTGACTCTGTATAATATTGTTACGTCTGTTCTTATACTCAGGAACTGGGTTGCTGTCCCCACAGAGCGGTATGTTGCCATCTTTGAGTGATCTGTTCAAAATTATCCTCATAGAGGTTTTTTACACTATGAAGGACAAACACTGAATTATCACAAAGCGCAGATTGGCAGACTATGCTTCATATGAGGTAGTTGGTTTCCCCTATACTAAACAACCTAACAAATACAGCATTCCTAAGAATTAACGTCATGCCTTATTCTCCCTTGCCTTAATCCCGCCAATCGCAGGGTCCACAATTATTGTTACAAGTCCCACTCTGTCAAATCCAACGCATCTTCCGGTGTAGCCCTAACTTCAGTTAGGTCTATTTATTTATTTATAGCTATTACACAAGGTTAGGTTGACAAATTAGTACATGATAAAAACGAATTCACAATAGGTATATGACAGCAATAAATAAATAGAGGCAAATAATTATGAGAGAAATCAGAAGGAATCCGAAATGGCAACTACCGCTTGTAAAAGTAGGGGGAGGGGATGGCCCAACAAGGAAGAGTCGAAGGGTAATGACCGGACCAACATTGCAAGCCGCTGACGCAGGACGGCTCCGCATAGCAAGTTAGTAGGTTCGCCAACTCCTCCTATCTAGATTCCTTCATGACGTCCCTCCGCCTCTTTTTTCGAGGTTTCTCGCGATCGCTTTCCTTGGACCTCGAAGACGAGACCTTTCTCATCGGGTAATCCTGTTGGTCAATGCCACTAGCACATGCTCACACCGTCGCCAAACTATAACAAATGAGCGATCTTTGCCCTAAGACCTCTTCTGATTAGGCTTTCATTTCATAGCTGTCGTAGGAGTGTGCAGAGTGGCGTTCACGTTTTTTAAAAGTAAACAGTCAGAGCACTTACCCAGACTCACTCTTCAATCTTGATCACGAGGCAGCTATGAACATATTATTCCGGCTCAGGAGAAATTACCTCAACGGCAATAACGCCCATATTAGCCTCCCGTCAACATCGGCAACAAAAGGCCACTTGCGAGGTGGTCTGAACTGGAGCTTACAGGGAACAATTTCCTCTTTCCACATCAGTTTCTGCCAAGAATCTTGGGTACCTGACAGGAGGCCCGTCGCGCGGCAAGAAGGCAGAGTCAGCGGACGAGTCGCAGCGCGTGATGTGCGATGTAGGACGTACAATGGTACATTCTAGACTTGAAATGACTACAGTGCGCGCTGCGACTCGTCCGCCGAGTCCGCCTTGTTGCCGCGCGACGGTCCTTCTGTCGCGTATCCGAAATCTTCTCAGCACTACTCAAGCGTCTACTCAAAGTGGATCCTACACTCGGGCAGAGACAACGGCAGACCTCTCCGTTGGGAGTATAAAATGCTAACTAATCTAAGACCTTCTCGTTCGTATTCCTATCGCATTTTTTCTCTCAAGATCCTCTGGAAGTAGCGGGAACAGTTCAGGATATTAACGATGCACTTGGCTTAGATTCGCAATAAATGTGCTCAGAAGCAGTAGTTCAAAAAGTTATTGTAACGAAAGCGAGAGCCTTGGATATGATCTCAGATAATGCTCCAGCAGAAACCACCGAGTTACGGGCCGCAGCAGTGTCGGCAGCATATGCTGCCGACACGCCCACTCGTCCGTGATTGGCTACCACCACAAAGGTTACTGCGTGCAGACACGAGCCAGCCAGTCAGAGACTAGTGGGCGTGTCGGCAGCATATGCTGCCGACACTGCTGCGGCCCGTAACTCGGTGGTTTCTGCTGAGCATTATCTGAGATGAGAGTAGTGGTCGGATATCGGACGGTGTCTCCGATTAGCCAAAAGTTCTGATTGAAGCACTCGTGCGTAAGACCATAGAGGAGGTTCTGCCCAACCTGGGCGTATATGGTTTGTACAGCCAAGCTATACGGAAGTAGCTGGAAAGTCCAAAAAATTTGATGGATGGGTCGCGACAATTCACCAATTTAGAGGGTGGTCCATGAAATTATAGCTTGTTTTATGAGATAACAGCAGCTCGTTTTTCGACAGATTTTCGACGTAAAATAAAGAGCGGATTCTTCTCTACAGCCCACAAAGCTCTGTTGAATAGATCAGCGGCGATCAAGCTCTAAAAACTGTCCAAAACTTAGACTGTGCTGAAGGAGGTTATGACAAATTGCATCAGTCAGGGGCTGGTCATGCTCTTCCGTGTAACCTGGAACTGTTACAGTGGAAGGGCAGTCTTATCATTACGTCAAAATTCACCAAAAACTCCACGACTTGTGTCTAGCATTCATCATTACCACACACGACGGAACGCACACTTCCCTGAAAGGTGTTCTGGACACACATTGCACCGCCAATCCTTAACATGCCGAACCATATGGAATTCGTAGTGTTCTGCTAACATCCTACTACTTTTGGCCTATCTGCTGTCACATTTCTGATGATCTCGGCAGCTTCCTTGAAGAGAAATGCATCAAAACCCAACATGATGCTAAAACGACCTTCCCTCAGTTCATCGCCTCCAGAGGCTCCAGCATTCCGAATAAACGTACCCAGTAAAACGGCTCTTATAAAGAAGGTTCGCGCATCCGAATGTTTTTTAATCAATTTGAAAGGTTCAGTTTAAGCCGAGATACATGCATTTGGAAATTCGGGGTCGGAAAACGACAGAACTTTCTGAAACCACCTGATACGTGACCTCACCACATTAACCACCATAATCAATCCTGCAGGAAGGTTTTAGGGTAGGGGGGGGTGTCGCTCAAACGACCCTGACCACCATTCAGCACTAACATGTCTGAGACAACA